ATGTGAATGAGGAAGGAGGTGGGTAACTCCAAGCACAAGCATTCTGTCTGCTGCAAAAGGACCGGGAGACCAACTCAGGCTCAATATTATGAATGGAAAGAAAGCTGATTCCCAGCAGCTGTTCTTGGAATACCCAGAATATTCTTAAAATGACATGGCTCCCCAGTAAAAGATGTTTGCCATGATGAATCAGAAATTCAATATGGAGGACAATATGCTGACAGAGACAAAGGAGGATTTAGGAGTCTCGACTTCCTCCATCAGATACATTGTGTCAGTTTACCCTCGTTTCAGCTGCTTCCTGCTCTGCTCAGCTTAACACTGGATTCCAGCAAGCATTGACAACAGCAGATTGAGGTCACCCTATTTTATGGAAATTCCTCAGAAAGGGAAGAGTTCAAGAATGGAATCTGAGGCATACAAAAACCAACAGCATTTCCTTCAGAGTTGTTTTGATTCTGTTTCCTATTGTTGGCACTCTCTGCTAAGCTCTGGATGACCATCCTTGCATAGATGATTTCCCTGTTGAAATTTCCTCCCCAAACTAATTCTGGAGATTCCATTAACTAGTGTTAACAGAAAAACCACACTCTGTAAAATATTTAAAGAGGTTTATTCTGAACCAATATAAGTGACTACAGCCAGGGAACAGTCTCAAGAGATCCTGGGAAAGTATGCCCAAGGCAGTCGGGTTACAACTTGGGTTTTATGCATTTTAGGGAGACAGAAATTATAGGTAAGATCATAAATCAATACATGGAAGGTATACATCCCATATATACCTGGTGGGGGTGTGTGGCATGAAAGGTGGGATGGGAGGGATGCTTACAGGTCACAAGTGGATTCAAAGATTTTGTGATTGGCAACTGGTTGAAAAATTTATGCTTTGTCTAAAGATTCAAAATCAGTAGAAAGAAATGCTTGTGTTAAAGAGGGATTGTGAAGACCAAGGTTTTTATTATGTAGGTGAAGCTTCCAGTAGCAGACTTCAGCAAGAATAGATATTAAATGTCTCTTTTCAGACCTTAAAGGTGTCAGATTATCATTTAATCTCTCCTAGATCTGGGAAAGACCTAGAAAGGGAAGGCCTAGTTGCATTAATGAAAATTCTCTGTAGATGCAAATTCTGCCTCCTCCCCTCAAGAGACAGTTTTTCAGGGCCATTTCAAAATATGTCAAAGAAATATATTTTGGGGTAAAATATTTTTATTTCTTTTGGGGTCTGCTGTCATATGATGCTATGCCAGAAGGTTGGAATTTGGTATCTTACTGCCACAGAGTCTGTTTTTTCAGTCTGTTGATCTCTATTTCAATGTTAATGCTGCTCAGTTCTGCCTAAACTCCAAAAGGGGGCAGTATTATGAGGCACATCCGACCTCCCTTCCCATTGTGGCTGCAAATTCAGTTTTTCAGGTTCCTCTCAGGTCTCCTTGGCTAAGAAAGGGAGGCCTATTCAGTTGGCTGGGGGGCTTAGGATTTTATTTTTGTTGTTGAATGTTCCTCTTTATTTGACCTGATCCACAACTTACAGAACCAGATAGACCTATCGACAGGTTTCAGCCAACTCAGCAGGAGGGTTTACTCCAGCAATCAAGAAAGCCAGCCAAGTTAAGGGCTGAATGGAAGAAGATAGGAAAAGTTGAATGTTTAGAATGAAGCCAAGACCTGCCCTGCAAGAGGAAACAACTTTGGTTCCTAGAGAAGGACTTAAGGTTAGACCAGGAGTTAGACAAAGAAAAAGTTGAGAAAGGAATCTAGATGCTTAAAGGACACTCTCCTTGAAGAACGAAATTTCATTCCGTTCCACAAGAGGTTAGATCCTGCTAGACTGTTAATTAATCTATGACAGATTGCATTACACAATGAAACATTGTTTTGAAGTAAATCTCCCCTACTCCATAAAAATGATATTTTATGGCTCATCTTGCTAATTTTCCACCCATTTAGATTATGCCTGACAGAGAAAGTTGACATTGTTAAATAGTATTATGTTCTCTGAGTTCTGTCAGCTTGTGAGAAAACATCAGACTCTTGTTATATACTTTAATCCAAGTTAAATATTTGTAATACAAACATGGGGAGTGTGCCTTTTGTCTTGTCACTGTCTGGAATCACAGAAATCAATTTGGTTTCATTAAAAAAAAAAAGAACCCTATACTCCATGGTTATTATACTGACTTAAACAAAGTGTGGTACGTCATGATGCCCTGAATGATGAATTTACCAAATATAGGAGGGCAAAAAATAGCAAAGGGCCAGAGGCCTATCAACAGCAACTTCCCATTTTTCAGATTTTGGTGGCAAGAGGGGATAAATGATTTAGCCTTTGTGTAGACATCAGTTACCTTCCCTGTATGAAAATTAGGTGTGTAGTCAGTGAGAAGAAATACTCCTGTCATTTTGTTCTCCCTTCTTTGGAATTTCTGATGCTATTTTGAGTAAGACTTGATGAGTTCCTAAATCTGAGAAACAGACACCAAAACAAATTTTTTTTTAGCCTCTGTCACCTAGGCTGGAGTGCAGTGCTGTGATCTCAGCTCACCACAGCCTCAACCTCCTTGGCTCAAGAGATCCTCCCACCTCTGCCTCCCGAGTAGCTGAGACTACAGGCACATACCACTGTGCCCAGCCAATTTTTGTATTTTTTTGTAGAGACAGGGTTTCACCATGTTGCCCAGGCTGGTCTCAAATTCCTGGGATCAAGTAATCCACCCACCTCAGCCTCCCAAAGTGCTGGGATTACAGAGGTGAGTCACCACTCCTGGTCCCAAAGCCACTTTTAAACTTAATTTTTCAGAGACCAGGGTTACTTGGCAATCTGATCTCATAGAAGGAATTTGAGATCTGCAGTCATTTGGTATACATTGAAGTCCCTGTTTGGCTCCTATTAGCTGCAATCCCTTGGAGTTCCTGTTTCCATTTCTGTGGAAGAAATGATACTGCCTTCCTTACACGGCTCTGAGGATTACTGGAGGTCATATCAAGTGAAAAGTGGGGTGCAAACAGTTCTGTGGGTGTGGGTGACTGCTTTTGGCTTGTTCAAGTCTCAGAAATTTAGCCAGCATGAACAATGGATGAGGAGTGATGATATTCCAGTCTCAAACTCTTGTCTGTCTCAATATAAAGATCAGTTTTCCCATCAGCAAAATGGGTAAACTTTCCTTAACATGTGACTACTCATTTATCTTCATTATTAGTGAATGGAGCATTACATTGAGAATCAGAAGGCTTAACTGTCCTATACAGTGATTCCTAAACTTTGCTACATATTGGAATCACCTGGGGAGCTTTTAAATGCCCTGCTGCCCTGTCACAGCCAATATCAATTAAATCATAATGTCTAAGGTGGGGTCCGGGTGTATTTGTCAAAGACCCTCAGGTGATTCCACTACACAGCAAAGTTTGGGAACCACTGCCCAAGTCCCTTTTATAGTCACCTAAGGGTACCTTTCAATTTCTTGGTTTTAAAGTATGTCCAACTTTGAAATGGACACTGAAGCCCAGGACAACAAATCTTGAGTCTCTGCACCTACTCCCCAGTAAACCTGACAGCCAACCACCCTCCTCTCTTGCAGCCAACTGGTAAGTGTGAAACATGAGTAAGTAGAGGGAATCCAGGGTTAGGGAAGTGAGCCTGGGGTTGGGGAGAGCACAGGGCACTCATTCCCAAACTGGGTGAATAACAGAGAAAACACAGAAAAAGATTTCAAGATCACATAAAATTGGGTAATTATGGGTTCACCCAGGATAAGCAGATTACTTCACTGTAGGACTTGTTAGGACCTTTAAATCAGAGTACGATTATGAATCTGCCGGAGGGGATTCTAGCAGCATTTCCTCTGTGCAAACCTTTTATTTTCTCAGTGTTTTTCTAGGACTTGTGTTTCAATCAATGTTACTTGGAGAAACATATAGCAGTGTTGAAATTTGTCCCCCAGGGGACATTCAGCAATGTCTGGAGACATACTTGGTTGTCACAGCTGGGAGCCAGGTGGCTATTACTGGCATCCAGTGGGTAGAGGCCAGGGATGCTGGTAAACATTGTGCAATGCACAGGACAGCCCCCATCACAGACTTGTCCAGCCCCAAATAATAATGGCACAATTGAAAAGCCCTGGCTTAGGGTAATTTCTTCCCCCATAGACCTATCCCCACTCCTATAGCCTCAGAAATTGGAGATGATGAGGGAGCAAGGAGGATAGGAGAAAGAGAAGAGGAGGAAGAAAAAATTAAGGAAAAAAAGGAAGAACTGAAAGAGAAAAACAGAGACAATAATAAAGGCAGAGGTAAAGAAGAGACCAGGGGAAAAAAGGAGAGAAGAAGTCAGATTCATAATTGTCTTGAGAGCAACCAAGATTTTCTTCAGTAGATGAAAGGATAAACTGTGATCTATCCAGACAATGGAATTTTATTCAGTGCTAAAAAGAAATGAGCTGTCTATGAATCTATGAAAAGACACGGAGGAAACTTAAATGCATATCCAAGAGAAAGAAGCCAACCTGAAAACGCTCCACACTTGGCGATTCCAACTATATGATATTCTGGAAAAAGCAAAACTATGAAGACTGTAAAAAAGATCAATGGTGGCCAGAGGTTGGAGGGGGAGGGAGGGATGAATAGGCAGAGCATAGAGGATTTTTAGCGATAAAAATACTCTATATGGTACTACATATACTCTATAATACTCTATATGGTACTACAATGGTGGCTACATGTCACTATACATTTAATCAAACCCACAGAATGTACAGCACCAGAAGCAAACCTTAATGCAAACTTACAGACTTTGGAATGATTATGATGTGTCCATGTAGGTTCAAAGACTGTCACTAGTGTACCACTCTGGAGGGATGGTGATAATGCGGGAGATTATGCATTTGTGGAGTGGGAGTCTGTGGGAACTCCCTGTACTTTCTGCTCAATTTAGCTGTGAACCCAAAACTGCTCTAAAATATTGTCTATCTTTTATGAAACAAAGAAACCCAAAGAAAAAGGCCGCATGCTGGTATCAACTGGCCCCAGCCTCCTCACACCTTTATTAATACTCTGAGTTTAGGAAGGCCACTAACGCTGCTTTTCAATAGGTACGAACTGGTTGGGAAAGGCGAGGACGACAAAGGCAGGCAGGGGATTCTCTTTTGTCCAGTGTTCGGTGTCCCAAACTCGGCGTCCCGGTGCACGGCGGAGGCCTCAGACCCTGCTGGGCTTCTTGGGGTCCTGGCTCCTGCCCGGCATGAAGGCGTAGAGCTCCTCGATGAGCATCTCCATGCGCGCGGTGACCTCGGTCACGGTGTCGATGACCAGCTTCTGCTGCAGCTTCAGCTTGTTGTTCTCCCACAGGGCCTTGTTTTCCTCCTGGAAGCCCCTGTGCTCCGCCCGTAGCACCTGCAGGGTCCTGTTCTCCTCCTGCAGGAGCCGGTTCTCCTTGAGCAGGGCCTGCAGCGCCTGCCTCATCTCTCTCAGCAGCTGCAGGGGCTGGCAGCCGTCGGGCAGGCCCGGGCCCGCCTTGGCCTCCTCCTCCCCGGAGGGCCCGGACATGTTGCTGACCATCTCCCGCAGGGCGCGCAGGGTCTTGGAGTCCTCCTGCGGGGCGGGGGGCCCTCTGGGCTCCTCGAAGTGGGAGGAGAGGCCGGAGCCCTGGTCCTGCAGCAGCCCGGGGCTGCAGGGCTCCTCGTGGGGCGAGGGGGCGGGCTTGCTTTCCTCGGCGGGGGCGGCTGCGTCCTCTGTCTGGGTCCAGTAGGCCTGTTTCTGCTCCAGCAGCTGCTGCAGCGCGCGGTTCTCCTCCCGTAGTAGCTGCAGGGTGCTGTCCTCCTTGCCGCGGGGCACCTGCAGGGCGACGTGGTCCTTCTTCACCACCTCCAGGGACGCGCTGTCCTTTTGCGGCAGCGGTGAGGGGGGCCGGCTCTCCTCCCGGCCCAGCGAGGCCTTGTGCTCCTCCCAGAAGACCTGCAGGATTTTGTTCTCCTTGCGGAGCATTCTGTTCTCCTCGCGCAGGGCCTTGTTCTCCTCCCGCAGAGACTTGTTCTCCTCCTGCAGCACGAACTCCTTGGCCAGCCTCTTGTGGTGCAGCTTGTGGTGGAAGGAGGCGGATGGGGAGAAGTAGGGAGACTGCAGGCGGCAGTTCTCATTCACCCAGCGCCCGTCCTGGAACACGAACATCTCGTCGCTGAGCTGCACCCGCGGCGGGTTGTAGTCCAGCTCCAGGTCGGCCTGAGACATGGGGCGCTCCATGGGGTCTAAGGGCACGGAGGAGAAGCGGTTCAGCGGGTAGGAGTGCTGGCTCGCCATCCTGCGGCTCAGCCGGGGCAGGGCGGCCTGCTGCGCGCAGCGAGGGATGCTGTGCAAGTTGTGGAGCCTCGGGAAGGGCTCGGCTGTGCCCCTCTGCGGGAGAGAATGGGAAAGCGTTAACGATGGGACAGACACACTCGGGGCTGGCTGACAAAGTAAGGGGCGAGGACATCCCCGGATAAGCCCCGTCTGATTGTCTGGCCTGGCCACAGTGGGCGTTTTTGCCTCTTGGGGTCCTCACAAGGAAATGTGGCGGATCCTTGTCATTCCAGTGAGTTCTGTTCTATTAAGTCATCTCCAACGCTGAATTACCAAATATAGAACCATTGCTCCTATGGGAAATAGAGGGCTACATTCCTGGGAGCCTGTGGTCACAATTTTGTCAACCAAACAATATATAACCTAATTTAGTGCTTATTGTTTATTGATTCATTAACATCGAACTCACGTCAGCAACACTGTTACGCATGCCCAAACAAAACTTCTCTAACACCTGTGTTTTCTCCATGTGGCACAGCATAGCCTTCTTGTGATTGGGAGTACTAGACAGCACTTGACTTGGAATGGCGCGGAAGCCATTTTTAACAGCAAAATCACCAACAAAATGCACAAGAAGGCAAAAAAAAAAAAAAAAAAAAGTGGCACTAGATCGACTGCGCAATGGACCCTATTTTCTAGCCTGAGAGCTGAAACAAGAAGGCTCCTTGGCTGGGGACTCAGCCTTACACAACTCAAATTTTCACCTCTCTGTGCATGTCTGAGAATTGCCATAAAAGTGCTTTAAGTATTGATTTGGTGGATACACATTTTAGCAAGTAGGCAAATTCACAAATATGGAATCCATGAATAATGAGAAACAGTTATATATTATGGAGGTCAAAAGCATTAATTTTAGAGTCAACCAAATATTTTGAGTCTCTGCCTCACTACTTACCAGTTAACAAGAATTTGGACAAGTTATCTGAGCTTTAATTTCCACAATTTCAAATTGGGATAATTGTATTTACTCCTTGCCTCATAGAGACATTTTTAGGATTAAAAAAGGTAATGTACAAAAGCACTAAGCATGGGCTCTAGCACATTCTGTCACCCTAAAGGAGGAACAAACACTGTTCTCAAGGGCCACTGCCCACAGGTGTGTACTCTCACTTAGCATGAGCAGAGAAGCAGCATGAATCATCCAAACAGCCACCCAAATTGCTGTGTCTGAAATGGTGGTGCCATTGATCAGCCCAGCCTTCTCTCTTGCCCATCTGGGCATATCCTTCACTCTTAGCCACCCTTGAGTCTTTTCTGCTAGCAGCCCCTTAAACATCCACTCCAGCTTCCAATGCAATGCTAGACTCAAAGCAGAGTCTAACTAATAATTTTGGAAGGAAAGAAAAACCATCCCAGACATATCACTGAGCAATGAGCATTCAACATGTGGTGATACAGCCAGCCAAAGACCCTGAAGAATTCATGATGGTGGCCACAGACCTCAAGACCACAGCATAAAACGGGGTTCAGATCCACAGAGCTTAACTCCAATGAGTTGGTAGCTTTCGCACGTCCCAGTACAGAAGAATAACCCCAGTGAGTTTTAAATGCAGATTTCTGAGCCTCCCATTGTGAGTCTGATTCACTCAGACTGGGGTGTGGCCCAGGAATCTGCATTTCTAACCAGCTCCCTCAGGTGATCCTGGCTGCAGGTGGTTAGGACAGCTCTAAGTCAAGCAGAATATGCAATTTGCTTAGGTGAGGGTTGCACCAGCATTAAAGACTGAAAGGTCACAAGAATTTTCATCCTGATTTTGTCACTGATGGGCACTTTGAAACCAGAGTGCTCTCTAATCCTCTTTAACCCCCAGACTTTTCACGAGTGTAAAAGAGGGAGTTGGGCTCCATGATCTTAAAGGCACCTTCCAACATTGAAAAGCCAATGAAATATACCTGTAAAATGGAAATAATATATGCCCTGCTTAGTTCACAACACTGTTGTGAGGATTAAATGGGAAAATGCAAAAATATTTTTAAAACCAACAGTGCCAAAGAACCGTAAGGTGTTGTTATCAGAAAAAGTAGATTTCACTAATGCAAGAATTGTAAGATGTATTCAAAAAGAAGTGAGCAAGTGGAGTGCACACTGGAGAAGAGGCGATGATTGCAGCAATGAATTTAAATAGAAAGATCATGATAGCTACTTCCAAATACACCAAAAGTGCTTCATCCAAGTATATCAAAATGCTCTCCAGATATCAATTCCTTATGTCTTAGGTTATTTTCACAAGTGTACAGATAGAGAAAATAAAAAACAACTCAGGCTAGCTACATTTTATATATGTGTGTATGCGTATGTAGAGAGAGAAATACAATTTGCATGGTATATAAAGTTGGTTAGAATTCTTTAAAACCTAAAGAGCTAGATAAATAGAAGATGCAGTTCTATGCCATTAACTTTGCAATAAGCACATGTCATTAACTTTGTAAGGATATGCTCAATCTTCCAGATAGCAAGGGTATGCGGGCATTCTGCAATCAGAATCTTATTTAGTTTAAAAAAATTCAGCCTCCATGGTTTTCACATTTGTCAATTGGGGAAGCAGATTGGCTCCCGTAGCTGTCTGTGATCAGAATGCACCTCACGGTGGATAACCTGGACCATTTTCTGGTAGGTTTAAGGTCCTGAGATCCAGGATTTCTGGGAAGATTAGTCAAAGCCAATAAGGTATGAATGGTTTTGTTGTTGTTGTTGTTTTGAGACGGAGTCTTGCTCTGTTGCCACGCTAGAGTGCAGTGGCACGATCTCGGCTCACTGTAACCTCTGCCTCCTGGGTTCAAGCAATTATCCTGCCTCAGCCTCCGGAGTAGCTGGGATTACAGTCGCGCACCACCATGCCTGGCTAATTTTTTGTATTTTAGTAGAGACAGGATTTCACCATGTTGGCCAGGATGGTCTTGATCTCTTGACCTTGTGATCTGCCCGCCTCTGCCTCCCAAAGTGCTGGGATTATAGACATGAGCCATGGCGCCCGGCAGGAGTGAATCTTAAGAGGTCCTCTCCATCCCTGCACTAGAACCAATGCTTTATCTCAGCAGGATTTGACTCCAGAAGCTATCAACATGGAAAAATGTGGTTTTAGTCAACATGTGCGTCCCAGTCCTGAGAAGGAAAGGGAAGAAGGAAACAAACATTGAGCCTCAATTTCATGCTAGGCCCTGAACTGAGCATTCTACCTACTAAATTCATTTATCCTCACTACACTGACATGTAAGATGTTATTACTATTCTTATTTTACAGATGGAGAAGCTGAAACCCAGAGAAGTTAAATAACCAGCACTAGCTCCTTCACTAAGACACAAACCCACTTTTGGCTCCCTGACCTTCTATGTGTGAAGTACACACATGGGAGACCACCATGGATTTATCAAAAGACTTACAGTGCTTTGGGGATCATTATATCTTTTCCTTCACTTTATATGATGGAAAAGTTCAAACATACACAAAAAGAGAGAGAATAGTCTAATAAATGTCCATGTACCCATCACTCAGCTTCACTAAGTATCAAATCAAGGCCACACTTGTTTCACCAGGCCTCAATCTGATTCTACAACCACTCCCCTACCACTAGGTTCCCTTAAAGCAAAGTGACATTGTGTCATTTTATCCACAAATACATAAATATGTGTCTCTTTAACAGAATCACAATACCATTATCATCCCTTTAAAATTTAACAATTCTCCCTCAATATCTGCGAATGCTGAGTCCGTGTTCAAATCTCCCCAATTATCATTTCTTTTTAACGATCATTTTTTTTCAGCCAGAGAGGCAATCTTCTTGATCCAACTAAGGGTCCAAAGAAGAATCATGGATGCTTTCTACCTGCCCATGTTTGGCCATGATGGCTTTTAACTCATGGCATTCAGCTGCCTGTGTTCTACATCCACCTTCCAAACTGGGTACCCAAGGAACATTCTGCCGCCCCTCAACAGAAATACACTAAACAAAACATTAACGTGGTGGATCCCTAGCCACAGACACCCTGGGTGTTTGGGCCCTGGTCCTTATTTACACAGTCAGGTGACCTTGCTCATATCCACTCACTTTCTGACCTTAGTTTCCACTTCTGTAAAATGAAGGGTAAGAGTCATTATGTCTAAGTGCTCTCTTGGCCTATCTCTGGTCCAGTGGATTCACATTTGTAAATTGGCACCACTATGACCCTAGCAGCCCTCTTTTACCAACCTAGTTGGCATCCCATCCTCTCCCCTAAATGGCCACCTCTTCCCAAGCAGGCTTTGTGCCCTCTCTTGTTCCATGCCCACAGCACCTAATCCAGGAAATGCTGATGGACTAATAAGTCCCCTTTATTTTCTCAACAGGAAACCAAATTCTTCTCCAACATCTAAGTCCTATTGTCTTTCCTCCTATCCCCAGACAGGACCAAGAAAGTGGTCAAGTCCAGTGTTTCCTCATGGCTTAGTTTCTTAGAATATTTTAAATGTTTTCAGTAGTCATATATTTATTTTAATAAGTAATAGAAAAACATACCTATATTAAATATACAGGCATCTTTAGATATGAGAAGGTTCATGATTGAACTTTGGGAAAACATTGATCCAAAACAAACTTGTTTTTTCCTGTGGTATTTCTCTGATTCTGATCAGAGCTAGCTGGATTTAATCCTTAAAGGAAAGCTCTTGGCCTTGTGAACATTCTTCACCCTAGTCATGTACCCATTCAAGATGTTATTGCACCAATTTTTCCCCTACATTAGTGTCAGTGAATCAACTAACATTAATTTGGCATCTACTGTGTTCCAAGCTCACAGACCCTGCCCTCAGGGAATTTCCAGTTGATTTGAAGAATCAGTGAATAGCACCAATTACTTCTTGGTGCAAATGAGAGAAGTCAAAATGCAGGAAGCATTAATGCAGGCAGCAAGGTGTGGGGAATAGGGGACTAGAAATGATAACATCTGAAGAGAGTTCTGGCCCTGCACTATATGAGTGCATGACCTTTATAGAGTCACTTCATTTCTGTGCCTTAGTTCCTAGAAAATGTGGATGTTGACATGAATCAGGGCCAACCCATATATTTTTGAAATGCCCAACTCTAGAAGGCACTATTCACTGTTACTGCAGTGCACAACCTGTACAACCCTCTATACAATGTCACCAACATCTGACCTACTTCTCTCAGAGGGTTCATTGTTCAGAAATAAAAGGAGACTTGGAACATTTTCTTTGTTTATAAAGAGCTGCATACATGCAAGAAGGACTACTGCTTTTAGAAGAGACATTGCTTAGCATTTCTTTACAGAAAGATTATATAGAACCAGAAAAAAAATAACACCAAGTGACTATAATGTGTCAGGTTATATGCTAATTGATTTCTGTATTCATATGTAATATCTTACCCAAAAGAACTGGCATGATTCTGCATAAGATTACATAGCTGGTAAAGGAGTGGAACCAGGGTTTAAAATGAGGATATTTGACTCCAAACTCCATGTTTATTCTAGCACTTCACAATGCTCAGACATTTTATTTTGCATGTACTAATATCATTCCTTTGCAATGGCTCTCTTACAACCAGGCCTCTCCTCTGCCCATATGAGTAAGTTGCAATTATCTAAGCACAGTGACCTATCCCTTGTTTTTGTGACATCCCAAGTCTTGGGAATTAGAAAGCAAATTTCACATTCCTTGGCAATAACTGAATCAACCAAAATACACTGCAAGATTGGGAGCAAATACTAGGTTGAGCCATAAGAAACTGTTAACATTTTACCATTTTTGGCCTACAAAAATGGCCATTTCTTTTGCCTTAATATATGTAGTGTATTTGATAAAGCTATGTCCTCATTTCCATTCATACTTAAGACTTTAAAATAGTCCCAAGGCAAAGCTGTTACGGTATGATGTAAAATCTATAAGCATGGAGTTTTCCTCACGTGAATTCCACAAACACCTAGATTCATCCATGTACTCCCTTAGAGGAAGCTCCCATCACCCCCTGCACACAAGCATGCTAGTGGTCCATTTCATCATCTTGAATATATAATCCAATGAGGGTAAAGGCCCTAAATTTCCGGTAACTTTGGGCTCAAAAGTCCCTCCTTTGACTGCTCTTGAGTAAGTCACTTTGCCTCTCTGAATGTCACCTCTAAAATAAGCCTAAACATGACCGCTCTGCCTACTTCCTGGGGTTGCAAGAGGACAAGAAAGTGGTAGGCAAGCTGTCATAAAAACTAAACAGATGGGAAGTTCTACTGGTAAGGTTTAAACATACCCAGCCTAAAGCGCTATGCAACATGGAGTATATTTCTTTACAAAAGGGCTACCCAAAAACTGAGCATCTGAGTTCAGCGAACATGTGCAGTTCCAGGATTCCAGACCTCCTTGGCCTGTGTTAGAAGCCAGTTCCTTCTCAGTAGGACTCCTTGACCAGTGGTATTACTGGATTGGTTTCACGGGCCAAGCTAACCTACCCTGATATCCTTTAGCCTTTGACAAGAGGTCTTTGCCAATACAAGCCCCAAGAACACCCCAGTAATGTTCTCTTAAGCCTGGGAGGTACCATCTATGTAGCATGGTGCAACTGACCATGAAAAAAAAAAAAGATTGTTTCTTTCCTGGTCTCTAGGAAATGCCCTCACATAGAGATCCACTAGGTAGGAAAGAAAAAGATTGGCTTCTTCATGGAAGAATGGGATATGAAGCTGATGCAGAAGGGGAATAAGTTGGCCATGGGCTCATCATGCCTTCCCATCGGGTGCTAGAAAGGTGCCAAGAGACTCTGTCCTCTGGGGAAATATGCTCATAGCTGTAACCCAATGATGCATTAGTGCCAGGGATCCAGGAAGGGCCCTGGGCACGAACATCGCCTTCACAGAAGCCTGAAGTCCCACCTGTGGATTAGAATTCTTTCTTAACATTAGGTCTGGCACCCTCCCTGGTAAATGTAAGTGGTCCTGGAAGGAGAATGCCTGAAATCTGCCAACAACTGTGTCTTTGTCAGATCACCAACCTGGTGGCAAGTGAAGAACATGGGGGAAGGGGACAATTGAAAGAAGGGAGGCAAAAAGCAAAGGCCAAAGGGCAAAGGGAAAAGGGGAAGTGAAAGGACCAAAATCCCTTACTGGTGCTACAGGACTTGTAGCAACAGGTCTCTCTGGATGGGACCTTCTGGGGTGGAATTACTGGAGTTGTGGTCTCCCATCCAAAGGGTTTGGGGATGGGATTGAACAGCAACTAGCCAGGCTTAGCTGACACACTGCCGCCTCTCCACCCCTGAAAAAATGTGGCTACCAGAGCCCAGAAGAGATGTCCCAACACTGCTGATAGAGTCCAAGCCTGGTGACTGAGTTTCTTAAACACCAACTTTGCCAACATTACTGAGGGTTATTATCAGAGAACATTCAGCCATCTGAGGTACTTTTAAAGCATGTAAAGTTGAGAGGCCCCAGGATTCTGGAAGGAAAAGCCAAATATGCTACTGATTTTCATATGAGATGACAAGACTGAGTCTCATTATCATTATTTTAAATTAATTCACCTCCCCGGTACCATGGCAAAGTCAGTGGTGGTTTTAATAAATACTAACAGGTAAAAGGATAATTCACAAGGTAAATGTGATCGATGTTGATAGAATTACAACGTTAACAGCAAACAGGATAAAGAAGATGTCATATGTAGTATGTTTGCATACTGTTTAACAGAGACTCTTGTGAAATCTTCCTGGGAACCGTTATTCAAATTGGCGGCGATCTGGCTGCTGTCAGCAGGAATTCACTGCTTCTGAGGAACAAGCCCAAACAAAGGGGAAGGAGAAAAGGCAACTGGGAAGGATGAAGATGGCACTGGTGTGTGCTATTGGAGCTCAGTCTGACCTGGTGTAGCTCTTTCATTAATGATCTAGGAGTAAACAATGCCTTAATGAAATTCACAGAGCATGCTCACTGGGGAAATGTGAAAGTCTTTGAGAACTGAATCATTACGTGCAAAAGGAACCAGGAGATCAGCTAGCTTGGGCTGGAAATGGCATTGATGGCTTGCAAGTTAATGTGCTGGAGGGAAATAGATCAGAAAACACAAATATTTAATGTGAGGAAGAAAAACGGGAAATCAATGCGTCCTGAAAAGACCTAAGGGTGATAACAAGTAGTGATCACAGGCATTTGCAATGTAATTGAGAAGCCTAAACACACAGCAGGACTGGGAGCTGGGAAGCAGAGGCACTTTCTAGAGACAGAGCTGCTGCCACAAGTCCTTTCTGAAACAAATGGAAAGTGGATTCCATCCCAGAATAGAGTAGCTTTTGGCAAATACAAAATAAGAAGCCCAGAGATGAGCGGTTAAGATGCGGGGAGAAGACTCCATCTCCAAAGAGCAAAAGAAGAACCACAGAGCTAAGATGCAGCGTGGCCCAGCTTAGTGGCATGTGCCCTGGTATAGCGGAGAACATGGGCACTGATTGGAGTTCAAGCCCCTTCCTCCATCTCTGCCATTACTAGTGGGGTTCCTGGGGTTGCCAGTTCCTGTACCTGTAAAATCTCTACCTCACACTTACTTGGCACCGTGCTCAACACATGATCGCACTAACATTCAGTCGATATTTCTTCCTCTCCTTGCTTCCCAGATCAACCCTGTCCCCTAAGCCATGCACCATCTCATCTAGGGAGGCCGAGTGAGCACATTGGTCCCTCTCGCAGCCCTGGTGGTATTTTGGTTCAGATTATCTACTTGTAGACACCCACACCCGTCCCCAGAGTGCCAGTCTTGAGCATCCTGACAGGTGTCCAAAACCTGGTGCATGGCTTGTGCCCTCTTGGCAGGTGTATACACCTTCCCGTGAGAGGTACACATGCCCAGACAGGAGATATCCTCTCATTCTTCACCCACTCTGCCCCCACAGGACCCCAGCAGCAGCACCAGGTCCTCCAGAACAGTAATCAGGCAGCCCCAAGACAAGCTTGAGCTGTCTTAAACCACATTCTCTTCTCTTTGATTGCTGGGCTGTTTCTGGGAGCTGGGGAGGGAAAGTTACGGTAGGTGTTGATGGAAACATCATTCCAATTTCTCTATCACATGACCACTACTCTTTCAAATCCTATCCCCTCCTTCACACCACCTCTAGGTTGGCATCCTCTGCCTGACCAAGTTTCTTAAACACCAACTTTGCCAACATTACTGAGGGTTACTATCAGAGAACGTTCAGCCATCTGAGGTACTTTCAAAGCATGTAAAGTTGAGAGGCCCCAGGATTCTGGAAGAAAAGATTGGTTTATATGGGCCATGAGGCATCACAGCAGTAACACCCACTCTTGGGGAAGCAGTGGCCAACACAACTCCCTGCATATTTCAGGTGGAAAGAATCAGGCCCAAAAAGATTCCTACAGCTTGTTATCCTGTCGAATGATCAGGGGGAAGTTATCTTATATTCTAGCTAAGATTCAAGTCATAGAAAAGTAACTGTTCATTACAAAGTTATAAAGATAATGTGAAAATAAACATCCAGGATGTTTTCTTCTTCCATATGTTTGCCTCCCACTGAACATACTTGCCTAGATTGTTACAATTATATCTGGAATGCTCACCAGTGGTCAATCCTCCTCCTACACATCCCTGGACAGAGCTCTCAGATAGTTACCTCTGCTTTGGATTCCTCCATCCTACATTTCAACCCCTCTGGTTGCATGGCCCTGGTCTTCCAATGAGGCCTTAGGTGACTCTGGAGAAAGCAAAGCCACCCCTTTGTGACATAGCATCAGTAGACACAATTCAATCAAGAAGACTCCACTAAGGAAAGAGCTGATTTCAGGCAGGAGGAGACCTGAGAATCTCTAGCCTGTGAGGACTTCACCAATTCATTGACCACAAAAGCATCTATGCCCATGGCCCCTACATCTGTCTTTGGTGCATAGCAGGGCTTAATTCTCTTGACAACTCCAAATAACTCTGTACCCCTCTGTCCATGAAGGAGGTTTTCTTCTCATGGATTCATTCTTATGCATTTGATTCCAAGTCCCAGTTCTAATTCTCCTCTAGAAATCCAAAGTGAATGCACAACACTAAGCACCAAAAGGTCTCGTTTTGAGAAGGTTGGGTTACTTCAGAGTATCATAGAAACTTGGAATGTTAGGACTGGAAGTTCTTACCAAACCATCTGACCCAACCACCTCATTCGTGGGAAAAAGAACCCAAGGCCCACAGGGGCTATGTGGCCTTCCCCAGCACGCTGCCTGCTGGCAGCCAACCCAAACTAGAACCTGAAGCCCTATCTCTGCTTATTCTACAACATCTTGCTAGAGTTTTGAAGGAGGAGGTAGGGGGTTATTCTGGCTAACACCGATAGGTTACATCCTCTGTGATTATCCCTACCTGAGGTAGAACCACATTGATTGGAATTTCTAGGCTTTCAGATCTGGTATCTCTTTTTCTTGTAAAATTTGGCCTTGAGTGCTGTGGAAAAGAGAAAAGAAGAAGATTGCTGCTTCCCAACTCATCCTCTGGGCCTCAATTGCTCACCTAAAAAACATAGAACTTTCTCCTCATTTATTTCCCTCTTGTCAGTTATGTACAATTATGAAAGTCTGGAAGAATGTGTAGACGATATCTGGCAAGACGGTTTATCAATCTCTGAACAGATATTAAGCTAGATATTATAGTTGATGTAAAAGACTTTTGAAAGTCTTTGACGCGGAGATAACTGTACCTGCTTGCCTAAGATGATTATTTCTATCTCAAGTAAAAAGCCATACCAATGTGAGTTGCCAGGTATAGGTCCTATGCAGAAGTTGGTCACCAAAACACTCAGAACATTCCAGAGGTGACATCACAAAACAATAGGGTGTTTTTCAGGGCTCATGGTTTCTGTCTGAGCATCACAGGTGGGAATGAGGCATCTGACAGGCAGGAAGAACCTGTGGGGGCTGTGACTACTTGGCCGGTCAGGGTCAGTGTGACACACAATAGCTCAAACATTAGCCCCCTGTTGGGTCATCCCAGCTGCCATTTGTATTCTCACTGCCAGGCTAAGTTGAGACCCCTAGTTTCTCTCCAGAAGTGGCGTCTTCTTGGAGTTCGGTCACTCAAGAAGAAGGAAACACAACTGAACTCTTCCCACACCAAGCGAGAAAGTGTAGTCTGAGGTGTTTTCTGACACTACTCAATTCCTTAATTCTCTGACATCAACTGTGTGCCCTACAATTCCATTTCATTCTGATGCTATCTACCTGGAGTTAGTGTGATAGAGCTGAAGGGGCTTACTGCCCAATGCAATAGAAGCCAATACTAAAACACTACGTTCTTTAAAAAAGAAAAACTTGTATATTCAAAGTCAACTCCCAAGGAGACAAGAGTCAAACTCAAACCGGTCTCTCGGTGCTGACATTAAGGCAGTATTTTTATTAGAAAAGTTTCCGGGGGTAGATTCCGAGATTAGTAGGTGATTGGTAGATGGAAATGGGAGATCTGGAAAGTCCCAAAGAGTAAGAAATCAGTAACTAACAGAAATTTTTGAGTTTCGGGATAGCAGATAAGAAAAGAAATTTAAGCTGCTGAAACTCCCTCCACTTGTGAGATCTAGAAAAACCTGGCGGAAATTGGTTGGAACCAAAATGGCTGACTGGAGCTTGCACACAATAAGCTTGCTGATGTCGTAGCCTGAATTTCCACCACATGTTTTGTACTAATTCCCCCTGAATTTGCACATGCAACTCAGGAGTTAACATGAAGAAATAACTGTGCATGCCCAAGGACTTTCCAGACCTCCCTTTTCCTTGTACCAATCACCTGCTAATCTCAGAATCCACCCCCTGAACCTTTTCTAATAAAAATACTGCTTTAATGCCAGCACAGAGAGACAAATTTGAGCTTGACTCCTGCCTCCTTCAGAGGTGACTTTTAATATAAAGCTTTTCTTTTTTTCAAAAACTTGGTGTCAGTATTGGCTTCTAGCACATTGGGCAGTGAGCCCCTTTTGCTTGATAACAAACTAGAACCCCAGGTGAGACGAACAGCCTGTTCAAGGTACTGTTGCCCCTAGTGGTGTGCAGGCCCCCTGCACTGATCCTGAGTGGCCACCTAGACCAGTGCGTTCAGAGGCTCAACTATAGGGTTCCTGCTTCTCTACCATGGCACTTCAGGTTCCCTTGGCACTTTTCCTTTGGGAAAAGAAATTGCTTCTGGATTAGACATCTTTCTGGTGAGTACCTTGTTAATACGTACCTGTACTTTTAATTGTCTTTGAACTCATCATAAGGACTGTGGGTTCAGGTCCCACCCTGTGGTTTAGGATTATGGATGAGAGTCCCACCCTTGTCTAGGACTGTGGGTTTGAGTCCTACCCAAGGGGGATTCTGGTCAGGTTAGAGTCCCAAATCTGGTGTATGTTCAAGTCACAAAGAATTAAGGCAATAGTAAAAAGCTGCAGCCACTGAGATAATCTAGTCTGGTTCTGATTTTTGTTGATCTGTCTGTATTTTTGGTCTGTGTATCAATGTTTGGCTTAACAGAGGTTAAAGACTGTGATGGCTCCAGCAGAAGCCTTATGAGAGCTCCAGAGTAGTTTATCCGCACACTCAATTAGAACAAAGCAACTCCATAAACTAGAAAACCTGAAGAAAAATGGCACATGGAAAAAATGTCAGTCAAACCCTCTTTCTTCTTCTGCCCCTAAAGAGTTGTCATGTAGTCTTCTAAGTTATTTGCCTGTCTTTTCTTCTTGACTACTTTGAATCTGCTGACTTTTTTACTAGTGTTGAGGTAAAACTTACTGTTCATGGTATTACTAGTTTAAGGTTACTGGCTAAAGAAAAAAAAAATGAAAGAGGTCTTTTAAAATCAAAGTGCCATGGAAACTGCTTTGCTCATCAGGGCAAATAAAGTTGAGCTATGTGAACAGGTTCTAATTTTATCAGGAAAATAAGTTTGATCCAACTGTCTCGTTTACGCATATACATGCATTATGTTATGTGTTGTTTCTATATGGTATCAAATGAGCTTATAAATAAAAGAGTACTGATACATTAAATAAATAAGCCCAAAAGCTTTTCAAGTTCATGTGACTTTAATAATCTTTGGAAAATAAAACCAATTTAAAATTATTGATAAAATAAAAATAGATATGTCTTCAGAATTGTCAGCATGTGATTTTGCCTGTGTTTACTGGTCAGCTGATATGTGCATCTGCTAGTTATTTTAAGATGTCCAGGTTTGGCACAAAAGTCACGAAATTATAAACCTAGCCAAAACAGAATAATCTTTGTTTACGTGATTCTTCTGATAAATAAGACTAATATTGTTGGTTTAATGACAACAATGAAATCCTCTGATTTATCAGCAAAATATCCATGTATTTCACTTCAAAGTTCTTACTTAGGTGAACACCTGATATTCACAAGCTGTGAAATGGTTAACAAGGAAAAAACTTAAAATGATGACTAGCTTTGTCTAATATCTCTGTTCTCATAACTAATCTAGATAAACTGTTAAAAACAAATAAATTAGATAAACGTAATAAATGACATTCTTATGTTTTTGAAAATCTTGAAGTTATCATACTTACTGAGCAGCTGGGTCACTTCCAATTAAGAAAATGTATAAGGAAATGTTTCTAAAGGTTAAAAAATGGTTTTAAAATACATAAATTATAATATTTTATCTATAAAATACTGATATATGACAGACAATTCAAGAGTTCTTACCTCCTAGGTTCTTCCCTAAAATAAGGATTACTAAGAGTTAATATTGTGACTTATATATGTAATTGAAACTACTAGATACAAGAGAAACAATTCTATATGCAAAATGTATAAGAAAAATAGGATGTGTTTTTGGTAAACACATAAGAAGACAGGAATATGGTTTTCATTTAAGGGCAAGTAATTTTGCCTAGTTTAGAGGTTCTAAAGGATTGTTTTAAATTGAAGGAATAAAAATATTATAGATAAAACTAAATAAATATAGAAAGTTAAAGAATGAAAATATAACAAATTGGAAGAGGTTATAAAAGGTTTACGGAAATCTTATCTTGCAGTCAAAACTAACTGAGATTGAATAGATTTGTTTATAAGGTCTTATTAAAATTAGCTGTAATATTAAAAATGCACTAACACAAAACTAAAAATTTTGGTTAAAGCCACAAAATTTTTTGAAGTATTGATTTGCTCTCAATGATATTGCAAGAAATATTGACTTTAAATTCTAAAATTAAAATGTCAGATTTATATCTCAGAAGTTCAACTTTTCCTGTACCTTGTTACATATAAGTTGCAGATCACATTCATTATCTTCTGTTTTTTTCCCCTTGAAAAAAACATATCTTTTTGCTTGGCTGGTCTGATAACTCTTCTTCAACTTTTTCATGAACTCCTACAATTTTTTACCCCAGCCCTAATGCTGTTCTTATGGCATAATGCTAACATATTTATCTTAAAGTTTAGAAAAGCAATGTTTTCCTCAAATGTAATATAATCTTATACTCTTGGCTTTATGATATGTCTGAATTATTTTGTATAACCAGGAAACCGCCCATGTAACTTTCTGTTACTTACTTTTGAGGTCCTTTGACTGTCATGCTAGTTAAATGAATAACTATTATTTTAAAATGACCTGTAGTTCGTTTTGATCAAATGTTCTGAATCTTTTAACATCTTTGGTAGGATTTATCTGGTAAAGTTGTATGGGAGACATTATCAAATGCTAAATAATACTGGATCTTCTTTTGGTTATGTTTATGGGTGCGCTATTGATATAAATGTACTAAAAATTACATACGTTTATAAAAGTCTCACATGCTATCAGTCGTAATTTTGATATGTTAAATCTTTTTAAAAGTTATATTTGTGTAGATACATTATTAGTAGAAATATTCTTAAGATTACATTATTATAAAAATCAGATGGTCCTGATGTGATGCTGTCAGTCATGGTTCTGGTTGTTATCTTAAAATGCTACATATAATAGAAATAACTACATTTTCCTGACAATTGACAACTTTTATCAGGTTTTAGCCATGGCTAAGTTTTTGTAATCCACAGTTATTGTTTTGAATTCTTCTCTAAAAAGCTTTCCAATCAGCTACAACCCAAATTACTTTTCATGCAA